CTCTGGGGGATGTGGTGCTTGAAAAGACCCTTCATCCTTACCTCAGAAAGGCGTGAGTTAGAATTCCTAGAGGCAACTGGCACCTGGGGGAGTGAAAGGGCATGGGTCCAAGGAAGAGATCTTGAGACAAATGGGGACAGAATGTGCAATCCCAGTGCAACTTCTGGTTTGGGGCTTCTTGTTCATTGATGGAGATGAATACCCTGCATGAGAAGTGAGTGGAGTTAGCAAGAGTGAAAGAGAAGAGGAGATCTCTTCCGTCATTTTCAGGACTCTTCAAGATTTGAGTCACTTTGGGCACTTTTGGCTTCCAGCTTTGAAAAGGATGATGGGAAAGGCCAACTTCATTTCAGATTGCTGAAGGAAAAGATTCTAGGAAGACATGAAGGGAGGGACAATCTCCATCATGTCCCTGTCCCCAGCCTGCTACACTAAAAACTTCAGGGAAATTCCCCTTCGTGGGGCTACAGGCAAATGGGAGCACTGGCACACTAAGGTTGGAGCCAAGAACTGGTATAGTCATTCTAGAAAGCAATTTGAAACTATGCCCAAAAAAGTTATTAAACTGTTCATATTCTTTGACCCAGACACTAGTAGTGATACCACCACTAGGGTTATACACCAAAGAGATCAAAGAAAGGGGAAAAGGTCCTCCTCATATGTACAAAATATTTATAGTAGCATTTTTGTGATGGCAAAGAACTGGAAACTAAGGGAATGTACATTAATGAGGGGAATGACTGAACAAATTATGGCACATGAATGTCATGGAATATTATTGTTCCACGAGAAATGAAGAAAGAGCTAGGCTCAGAGAAATCTGGGAAGACTTGTATGGACTTATGCAAAGTGAAATGAGCTGAATCAGGGAACAATTTATACTATAACATCAACATTGTAAAAAAAATTTTGAAGGACTTAAGAACCTTAATCAACAAAATGATCAATCATGAACCAATTAAGAGAATGAGTGATGAAGAAACCTACTTTCTAATAGAAGTGATGGATTAATATGCAGAATGACACATTTTTTGAAACAGCTAATTTAGAAATTTGTTTTGCTTAAGTATGTTTATTACTCTTATGCAAGGGTTCTGTTTTTCCTTTTTCCACCCAGTAAAGAAGGGGAGGTCATGGTAGGATGGAAAAAATAAATGCTTCATATTTGAAAAAACACTGAAAATAAGAAAAATCATATAATTTATATATATATGTGTATATATATATACATACATATATAAAACAGTGTTATCTCTTGCACAGGCTCATTTCCTAAAAATAACAGTTCTTGCTCAATTAGAGCCCTACAAAGCTGTTTCACCCTGTATCTAACCCCGTCCTGATGCAACAGAATGTAGCAACTGCATTTTCTGTGTAGTGATTTCTCTGTTTGGAAAGCAACTAGAAATAAGAGCATATTGGCAAGTGTGCAACTGTAGGCAAAATACAAAGCTGGGAGATCTAGAACCAGTGGATCTGTTGTAGAGTTGCTCCTTATAATGAGGTTGCAGTTAAAAGACAGAAGAATGAGAAAGTGAGGTAGGACCTCTTCACGGTAGGGCAAAGTTATGAGGGTAGAGACTGTCTTTTGCCTTTTTTTGTACCCCAAGCACTTAGTACAGAGCCTGACACATAGTAGGAACTTAATAAATTTTTACTGATTGATCATTCATACTAAAAAAATATTGCAAATACAAGAGAAAGTTATTTCATTCCAAGTCTCATTTGAACCCAATAAGAAGCTTTCAGTCTTCACAGACAGCCTAATTTACCCTGCCAACAAGAAAAGTGATGAGTGGCCATTTTGGCAGTAGCAAAATTTGGCAATTTTGGGTGTCCTCAGAAAAATATCAATTATTTCACTCATTTGGGGGGGTTGGCAATGGGGTTAACTGACTTGCCCAGGTTCACACAGCTGCTAAGTGTCATGTATCTGAGGCCAGATTTGAACGCAGGTCCTCCTGAATCCAGGGCCAGTGCTCTATCCATGCACCACTTAGCTGCCCCTATTTCATGCATTAATTAAGATAATAAAGTAAGTATTAAACATCAGGGTTGCTTTTTTTGGTCTGATGTATATGAAAAGCAAGTTGTGCATGGCCTTCTACTTCTTCTATGTACCTTAAAATTATTTTCCATTCTAGCTGCACACAAGTTGTCCTAGGGTAATGACACTATCTGATCCTAATCATCTACCCTAACTATAAATGATCCCTGCCCTTCTCAAATCCCCTTGTGCCACTTTTTTTTAAAAATTCATGTATTTATCTGTATTATTTTTGTGTACATCTTTCTATCCCTCTTCCTTTTTCACCATCCCCAATGCCTATGTGACTTTTTAATCTTTAAATCTCTGGCACAGTACTTTGCACATATCAGATGATTAACACATGTCTGTTGATTGAAAGAATCTCTATAACCCCTCAAAGAGTCAGAATTCCTTTTTGCATTGTCCACAAAAAAATATTCACTTACAGTTTCACTTTCCTTTAATTAAACCTACTTTTCCTCAATCAACAAGCATTAAAAATAAAGCACTATTTCTTATTCAATTATGTTTTCTGTTGTATTATCACTATTGCAACAGTGGCCCAGGCAACTAAGACTACAAATAGCTGAACTGTGACCACACTTTGAATTGATAAAGGGAGTCTCCCTACACCTAGGAAATCTAAACTATTTCTGAGACTTTCAAAAGACTTTTGGGGACTAGTCTGTGAACCTAACTACCAAATATAATAATGTTTCTAGAGGGAAAAAATACACGAAGAGTTACAAATAACTAATTTTAAGAACACAATTCTTGTAATTGGGAGACTTGCCTGTATTGCCACACAAGCCTTTTATCTACATCAAAAGTTAAGTTAATTGTTCAATACAGGGCAATTCACAATCTAAAATAAGTTTTAACTTCATATATTCAGTATTATTTATAGTCATTCAAGATAGGCAATGGCCTTTGATTAATTAATGCCACTGTTTTTATTTTTTTTTTCTTTTGCTTACAAGAGGTTTCTAAGCCAGTCACTTATTTTGGTTGAATTATAGTAACAGAATGTTATGTTTTGTTTTCCAACAAAAAAAGGGAATGTTTATGCTTAAAATTAAAAAAAAGTAAAGACATTTTTATTCAGTGAGAACAGCTTGACAAGATCCTGTCTCCAACATCTTAATGCTTTATACTAATCTACTTCAAACAGAGATCTGGAGTGAATCTTTTCCCTTTTTCCTGCTGTCTTCTCTCTTTAGAGTGTAAGCTCCTTGAGGGGAGGGACTATCTTTTGGTTTTTAATTATATTCCTATTACTTAGCACAGTGCCTGGCATACAGTAAATGCTTAATATATGCTTGTTGCTTTCCCTTTGTAAACTACTTACATTGTACTGTAGACTATTTTATCCCATTACATTACAACTAACATAATGTAAACTATTCCTTAAATAATGATCAGGTTGACAAAAATGAATCAGCAAAAACCAATGCAGGTAATTGTACAAACTTGCCAGGGCAAATCTACTAACAATAAATTTGAGAGAGAATATTAGAATTAGGTAGCAGCATGGTGTACTGGATAGAGTGTGGGACTCGAGAGTCAAAAACAGGTGCAAATCTCACCTCAGACACTTGCTAGCTATATGACTGTGGCTCACTTAATCCCTCTGAGCCACAGGCAACTGTTTTATCTATTAACAAGTACTTATTAAGCACCTACTAAGTGCCAGTCATTGGCACTAGGATGACGAAGGAGAATTGTGATAGATGGATTGCAATTAGGTGAAGTTCCCAGAGGATATAAAAATGGACATTTATATAAGAACATAAAAGTTGCAAAGCATTTTACAAAGAAGGCTCATTGGAAGGGATAGAGAACTCCCAGGAAAGAACTTCCCCTACCTATACAGGTAGGCATTTTCTCTGTTGCTTAGAGCACTGATATTTGCCCAGGGTCACGTAACTAGTATGCCCAGGGTTAAGTGACTTGCCAGGGGTCACACAACTAGTATGTATCAGAAGGGGATCCTGAACCTAGGTCTTCCTGGTGGAGAGGCCATTGAGCCTCACACTACAGGTATTATCCCTACTTTATAGATGGAAAAACTGAGGCTTGGAGAAGTCAAGTGACTTGCCCATGGTCACATTATTCTTAACCTGAGGTTTATAAACGTATTTCTTTTTAAAATTTTGATCACTATATTCCAAAGTATTTTTTTCCTTTGTAATACTCCTCGTTTTATCTTATGCATTTAAAAACATTATTCTGAGGTGTCCATAGGCTTCACCAGTCTCCTGCCAAAGGGGTCCATGATACAAAAAAGTTAATAATAGTCCCTTATCCTACTCTTTGGAGAGTTGAATCGGGACCCCAGGCCTCCCTTCACTTCAGTGGCTGGGCTCTTTCTACCATAGCCACACTCCCTGATTTCCAAGCACCCCATTTTTCCTTCCTCCGCAATTCTTCGTACCTGGCTAAGTCACGGTAGAGTTACAGAGGCCCTGGCTAGGTCACCGAATTCAGCTCCTGGTTCTCAGGCGCACAGACTCAACTCTCCTAGTCACAGAAGTGAAGGCAAAACTAGTCACCGAGAATGCCATATATGTCGGTGGTTTCAGAAACAGAAAACAAATAAAAAGCATGGTTTTTTTTTTTGTTTGGTTTTTTTTTTTTTTACAACTTTAAAAGCTCTTCTCAACTGAAAAGTCAGTTTGCCTTCGGGCTTCAGACCCCGCGTCCCTGGTGCACCTTGGGCAGCAGGTGCGGCGCAGGCTCCAAATGCACCAGGCGGGGACGGCTTGGCGAAGCGCGGGCGGACACGCGGGACCAGGCGGCACGCGTGGAGTGGCGCGCCCTGCGGAAGGCTTCAGGACGCGGTTGCCCGAGAGGTGCCCGGGGGAGGGGAGGAGAAGGACGAGCCCCAAGGGGCGCCTGGCCGGGGGGAGCCGCCGGGGCGGGGGGCGGGGGCGGCACCGGGAGAGGAGCGGCGCCGCGCGAGGCCACTCACCGGCCGCGGGGGCAGCGGGGCGCTCGGGCTGGATAGGCCTCCACCACAGGACGCTGTCGCTCAGCACCACGTCGCAGCTCCTCCCGTCGATCTCAAAGATCCCCCGCTGCAGGATGCGCTCGGCCGCGGGCACGGGCTGCGCGGATGGAAGCAGCACCGGAGGTGGCCCAGCCTCGGCTCCAGCCGGCTGCTTCCCGCCCTCCGGGCCCCCGGCCAAGGCGCTCACCCGGCCCCTGGCCAGACGGCGCATGGCGGAGCCTAGGACGGACTCGGGCCCAAGAAGGATCCCGGGAGGGCTCGCGGAAGCGGCGGCCGAGTTCTTCCAGCGCGTCCGTCGTCGCCTTAGCAACAGCGCGCGCCCTCCCCTCGGGGGCGGGGGCGAGCAACGTGTGCACGGCGGGAGACCCGCCCCTCCCTCCCTGCGCGCGCCCGTGCCTCGCTCCCCGCGGGCGACTTGGAAAGTACCTCGCTCTACCCTAACAAAAATCTAGGTGTTCTTTAAGGACCTAAGGAGCCCTCGGCGCGCGCGTGCGCGTGCCGAAGTCTGCTAGTCTGCAATTTGCAGCCATGGCTCCTCGCTCTGGCCTCTGGGGCTGAGCAGAACAAATCTAATCCCTCTTCTACGTTAGCTAGACGCGGCAGGCCCTTCACAAATACTTGAAAAGAGTAGGCTTAATGCAAATGAGATCGTGGGAGAGGTGCAAGAAGAGGCTGGGCATTTCAATTTCAAAGATCCAGATCTTGGAGGTGCCACAGTTCCAAAAGATTTGAAGGTCTTCTCAACAGTGACCATGCCCATGTGTGATTGCAGTGAGTTGGAGAAACAAGGTGCTAGAGTTGTAAAGGTTAGATTATTAGAGAGGTCATTAGCATAAATAATGAAAACCCTGAGGGCAACGGCAAAGAATAGGTCAGACTGGAAGGCTTATCGCCTCACACAGCCACAACCCCAGCTTGAGCTCTCATCGCCTCTCCCCTGGACCGCAATCATCTGATTAGTCTCTTTGCTTCAAGTTTTTCCGGAATAATATGAGAATGTAAACCTTCCCAAAACAGGTGTTTGTTCTGCACTAGCAATTCGTCTATCTTAGATTTGTTCTGGAGATCAACCAGCTGTATCCGTGTATGCTGACAGTTATCAATAAGTGTGGGCATCTCAGATCTGTAACTAAATACCCATAACCTTTGGCAAGTCAAATCACCTCTTTGGGCCTTACTCATCTCATTTGTAAAATGGGTTCGGACAATATAAGCTCCAAAGTCTGTCCTAGCTCTAAAATTTTATGTTTATATTTGAACCACTATTTAAATTCACCTTATCTGGAAGGAGTTAAAGACTTCTCACATTAGCATAGATTTATGAGATTAGCTAATTCAAGTTGGGAGATTACCAGAAACTTTAAATAATAATGAATAATAATTGCTCTCACTCAGAGTTTTTCAAGTTCTACAGATCAGTTCACATATATTATTTCATTTGATCCTTACAACAACTCTATGTGATAGATGCTGTAATTATCTACATTTTACAAATGAGGAAAAAGGCATATAGAAATATAAAGATAAAACAGATAAGTGACTCACCCAGCTTCAGTTTGGGATGGGGGGGAGGTATTCACACCAGTTAGTTATCCTGGAAAGGGACAGAGACCCCAACACTAGGGCTTGAAGTTATTTAGCTCCCTGGGCAGGTGCCTGGGGCAAGAGTACCTATTCTACAGGTCTTCACAAAATGGAAACCTGAGTCCTTAATCCTTGCCTCTCCCTCCCTCCCAATGTCCTCTCAATTCTATTGCTACAATATCTCTCATATCTGTTGCCTTCTCTCCATTCACCTTAATCACACCTAAATTCAGTTCATCTTGTCTTCTAGACTATCTGTTTCCAGACTTTCAAACTTTTTTCAGAGCTAAGTTCAGGTGCCATTCTCTATGAAAAACTTTTGTTGATCCATCCAGGTATTAGTGCTGGTTTTCCTCAAATTATCTCGTGTTCTTATATGTATATATTGTGTCTGTCCTTAAATTGAAGGACCCTTTTATTTTTCTCATGGTATTCTCAGCACTAAGCAAGGGCCTTTCATAAAGTACTCAATAAACATTTGCTGAATCAAATGAGGTGGGGTGGGAGTGTCTAAAAATAAACAAATCCATAGAAATTTGGGGCAGCTAGGTGGAGAGAGTGTCTGTCTTGGAGTCAGTTCAAACCCACATTTGACATTTACTAGCTGTGTAACCCTGGACAAGTCACTTAACCCCAATTGCCTCACCAAAAAATAAAGAAATAAATAAAAAGAACTCAGCTCTCATGGTCCCAGGCTGGACTTTTCTTATTGTATCACCACCTTGCTTCCTTCAAAAATGGTGTTAGATGGCTGATGAGGTAAAGATCAGTTACTTCCAGGAAACCTGAATTAAGTATAGGAATTATCTCAGGGTCCAATCAAACTCTGAATGAGCCAGGGACTCAGACTTTATGTCTTGAGAGCCAGCCAACTTCCTTTTGAATATCAAGTCCTTATAAGCTTGTCAAGTTGATACACATCTTGTTTAGTGTCCTGAAAATGAGTACGTAAGTCTCCAGCTGAAGCTGAGAGCAGAGATCAGCTTGATCTGGTCCCAGCTAGCTACTTTCTGAACAAACTGCATGCTTCAAGGGGGTTAGCTTCCCAGTTGTTATTTTAAGAGAGCTTCTGTTGTCTGTCTAATGAGTTTTGATTCTGCAATCAACTTTGTGTATTTACAACTGACAGATGATCAACAAAACTGGAACTTCTTGGAATATTGAAGCCTCATTGATGATCTAAGCAATTAGGGCAAAATAGCTGCTATGACTTCCCAGCCATCTCTATACCACACTAATAACATTCTGGCCATCATGCTTATCTTTCCCTCCCCTCCCCACCAGACCTCTAAGTATGCCCTTTCCTTTCTAGGTCCTTTTTATATGTTGTCTTCCTTTATTATAATATAAGCTTTCTGAGGTCAGATACTGTCTCTCTTGCTTGTATTTGTATCTCTAGTACTTAGCACAATGCCTGTGCTATAGTAAGAGCTTAATAAGTGCTTTATCTATGTATTTATTTCTTAAGACTTCCTCCATAGAGATAGGTAAGCATTCTTCAAGCACTAATCAGGACAAATAGCCAAAAGCAATGAAGACCATGGGGAAAAAAGACCATTGCTTGGAAATTTGACCAGTATTAAAAGGCAGGAATATCTGGGGATATTCTACTTTCTTTGGGCATCCCACTGATTTTCCTTAATAGTAATAGCAACTCAATTTCATGTATCACTTTAAGATTTGCCAAGTACTTTCTTCACAACATTCCTGTGAAGTATGTAGTGTAAAACATTATGATCTCTATTTTGTAGATGAGGAAACTGAGGCCTTATGCTTCTGTGTACCTATGGCCATAGAGGTAGTTACTGTATGAGGTAGGTTTTGAATCTAGGTGTACAGAGTACAAATTCAGCCCACTTGTTCCCATACTACAGATTTTTTTTTAAATTAATGTCTCAGTATTCTCTCTCTCTCTCTCTCTCTCTCTCTCTCTCTCTCTCTCTCTCTCT